AATGCCTGATCAAGTAAGTCAAGGAACAGACCAATAGAATGCCTGATCAAGTAAGTCAAGGAACAGACCAATATAATGCCTGATCAAGTAAGTCAAGGAACAGACCAATAGAATGCCTGTTCAAGTAAGTCAAGGAACAGACCAATATAATGCCTGTTCAATGAAGTCACGGAACAGACCACTAGGAGCTATCACTCCTATGTGATGTGTAGACAGAGACAGTTAGACCTTTGGGCAAGATATTTGAGGTTTAGCATGAGACTTTGCCAAGTGCTAAACTTCATCAATCTTATCTTCACGGTCAGCATTATCTGTTTAAAACAGGAGCGATTGATTTTATTTCTCTTACACTTTCCCATTGTATAAGTATGTTGTACATGTGAGCCACACCAACATCAAAGGTGCAGGAAATGTGTTACAAATTTTATATGATAAAAAAATAATAATCTGAAGCATGCCATTGTTTGGAGCATAATTTTTTATGTTTACAAAGCAACATTACGAAACTTGAAACACCTGATTAGGATATTTGGGCAATCTGAGGTTTGGAAGAACCACATATCTTGCTATGCTATGTACAAATTAAAGATAACTTTACAAACTGCATACACATTATCATTACAACAAGATGCATGGTGCGCAGTGCCGAAGCACCGCAATTCTTGCTCCAGTAAAGAAAAGCTTCCCTTTTGTCGACACAACAAATGGTGTCTGGGTCAAGTTTGTATAAGGTGGGAAACCTTCATACATTCATTTTACAATTAAGATGCAAGGTTACAAAACTTTGAAGAGATATTTACAATTATTAGAAATGATGAATTTGTCCTGAAAGGGATAGTAATGTTTCTTGTCTAGGCCATCACTGGATAAACCAACGGGTACTCTATAATAATGGGGAACTAATTTCATGATCCACCTATTGTTAAATATATGAACTGAATATACTTTGTAATAATTAATTAGCAAATTAATGTTGTAAATACTTGTATTTACTCTAGTTTGGAATATATGCATTTACTTTTCACCACAACTATTAATGATAAATGTTATTCAAATGACCACTTAGAAAATACATTGAATGTCCATGCTCTTGTCAGAATTTATTCAAACCGTATTGAGCTGACAGCAGAGGATTTGTGACTCCTATAGCTACTGTCCGAATAAAATATGTGTATCTGTGTTAAGTTGTGTTAAGTTTATAGTTTTGATCATTTTACAATTTGGATGCAAGGTTACAAAACTTTGTACGGATGTTTGCAAAGATTGGTAAGGATGAAGTTGTCTTTAAATGAATATGAATGCTATAATTACAGGTATGTATGCATGTTGTGAAATGCTACTCTGTGGCATCACAGTTTGAAGGATGTCGGGAGAAAATCCAGGAGATTCCAGCCATCATCAAAGACGTTTGTAGAATACTTTACTATAAGGTAAGACCTATACCGACAGACTTGATAGTCAAACCGTGGATTATTTCAAAAACAAAAAACATGAAATAATTTGATACATATTTAAAAATTCAGTCATGAAGTCCGACTTTGTTATAAAATAATTCCAAATGCCCCAATATTTTCAATGTTTTTCATCGTTCAGATTACTTCAGCATGACAATTTTAAGATCTGACTGTAGTGTTCTTATTTTACAAAATAAGTTTTTCCTAAGCTCTTAATATTTTAAAAAATGATTTTAGAAATGTGTGAATATCATTGTATGTGTTAGAACCTAACTAATCTGTTTTTAATTTTCAAAGTGAAATAAATACTATTTTTTATGTACAGAACCTTCCGCAGCTGTGTTCTGTAATAGCGGAGTGTATCAGTGCCTTTTCCGTGGACTTCTGGCTCCAGACCAACCTGTTTCAGTCAGGCGTCCTGTGGCATCTGCTTCTGTACCTGTTTAATTACGACTACACGCTGGAGGAGGGAGGTGTAGAGAAGAGCAATGAATCCAATCAACAGGTAAACTCCCCATTTACATAGTGATTGAATCATGTATTCATTATAATTTCTTTCATTGTGTGTGTTTTTCCAGTTAACCAAAACTTACAAAGTCTCCAAAGGGATACATGACTTTGAATATTGATTTCTGTAGATTAATTATGCTTTTAATGACTTAATGAAGAACATTCAAATGTCTGTATAAACAAAACATGATGATGTTATAAACAAAACATGATGATGTCATGCACAACACATGATGATGTCATGCACAAAACATGATGATGTCATACACAAAACATGATGATGTTATGCACAAAACATGATGATGTCATACACAAAACATCATGATGTCATGCACAATAGATGATGATGTAATAAACACTCAGGCATCATAGCAAATATGACGTCATATATATCACACGTCAGATACCAGACTACTTAATGGAGGGAGTCAGAAGAGCTGGTTTGGCTATGTTAATGATACCTTATACATGTTTTAACATAAATTAAACTGAATGCCTTGTTGATTGACAGGAGGTATCTAATCAGCTTGCTCGCCTCAGTATAAGGGCGTGTTCCAGACTGGGTGGATACCTACCAGAGAGTTCAGGCCTCGCAACGCCAGAAAATGTTCCTGTCAAAAAGTCACTAACGGCTATGATCACACCATTTTTAGCACGCAAATTGGCCAATGAACTTCCTTCAGAGGTAAAGAGGTGTTTTTGAGATGTAGTATTGTAACACAATTCTGTAAACATTCTGCTAAAGGAGAAGCACAGATATAAAACTCACGGTTTTCTCAACTTATTAACCCTTTCACCACTGTAGATCAAAATGGACTCATCCAGATCAATGCATGGTAGAGTCTACTAAAATTACATAGGGGTGAAAGGGTTAACTGTGATGACTTTTCTTTAGTCAGTAATTCTGAAATTATTTTGAAGTTTTTAGCCCCTCTTAAATAATAGGTCATCTGTATGGTAAAAGTGGTTTGTAATTCTTGATTTCAGCTGTTGAAGATCTTGAACAGTAACACGGAGAATCCATACCTGATTTGGGACAACGCTACACGGGCTCAGCTTAACGAGTACCTGGCGGACCAGCAACAGAACGTTGTCAGAACGGTACTTTGTCATAGTCTTCCTTTTTCTGATCACCTGGGTCTGAAGTTATGAAAACGTTCTCATGCCAAAGCTTAGATTCCGTGCTCCAGACAGTTCCTTGTTCTGATAAATTAATAAAATTTCTCATTTTATCAGTGATATGGAAGAACTTTTGAAAGACTTCAAGCTGAATACCATTTTCATTGTCTGCACTTTACTTTTTGACCTTGATGTATTACGAGAAAGCTGATTTGAGCACAGAATCCATGCTTGAGCATGAGAAAGGATTCATGAATATTGGCCTTGATTATTTTTCTGCTAATTCTGGATTTTTTCAGGTTAGGATTAACTTGAATTGATTTAATATAAATTTTATTTTATTTAATAAATTTTGAAATGCTGTAAAATATAACATTTTAATATATTTTAGCTCATTCAAATATTTGTACCTGATAAAATTTTAATAGAGAAGCACATTGATGATCTGTAGAAGCCACAATACATGCAATAGAAAACGATACACAGAAACTACAATTGTTAGCCCAGTCGTAACTTAGCAGAATAGTTTTAGCAAGGAAAATAATTAATTGGATAATGAGGTTGTCAAACTGTTTAAATGTCTACAAATATTACGGAATTAATTAAGATTTGAAGGTAAATATTTGGAGTATAGTTATGAAAAAAATGAAGAGCAAGATATGAATCAAGGTATGAATTAATTCAAAGTAAAAATACTTAAGAAACTTTGATAAAAAGAATCCTTGTTTGACCTCAGGAATAATAATTAAGTTTTGAAAATATTTTACTGTTGCTGTTTTTCAGGGGGAGAGTGATCCCGACTACGGTTCTACATTCGTGTTTGATATCCACGCCAAAGAATTAATTGTTGGAGAAATATTCGTGCGAATCTACAATGAGCAATCAACCTTCCAGTTAGATGTAGGATCTATCTTTCCTAACAACTCTCTGAATGCTTTTCAAAAATGATATTTATAATTTTCAAAATTATTTTTTCTAAAAATTGAAGTAAGGTCTAATCACCTTAAAAAATAATGAGTAAGCCATTAAGGAAAACTTCTTTTTGTTCCAACTTTTCATATCTGCATTTAAGTATTTATATCGGTTATAAGTGGCTCTTACAATATATATATATATATTTTTTAATCCCTCAGAAATCTATTTATTGCGTCAGTCTTATCTGTTTGAAACACAATTTTAATTTTATGAAGAGAGGCCATCATTTTGTCTTTGTTTTTAACATAATAGTGGTTTTTTTTTTCAGAACCCTAAAGGTTTTACGATAGACCTTTTAGACTTCTTAGGATCACAAGCACAGGTAAAAAAAATATCATCAGATGTATTTTCTTTACATAACAGTAAACTTTTACAGCTATTGTATTGTTTTCCTGTGTCGTATCAACAGTCTATTATCCAGTTTTAATTCCCCAAGCCTGCAATGCTTTGTCCTCAAAATTATAATGATACTGCTTTAACTTCACCGAGAAATATCATTGCTGAAAAGGAATGATTTGAAGGCTCTTAATTAACATTGATACTTCTCAATACAGTAAAACTTTGTTATACTTCCACTTCTTTGTTCTGCAAATGTTGGCATTATAAAGGGTTTTGGTGATACAGTTAGAGAGAGGTGTAGAGAAAATGTTAAGGAAAAGGAGACTCTGAGATATGGTGGTGGTAAATGAGATGGTAAATGATTTGAAGGGCATTATATCGTGAGTATAATGTATTGTCTATAGGTATTCAATAAAAGAAACAGGTTGGCCTGGTGGCGTAGTGGATTAATTACTTAAGTATATGACTCACCTTTCACCAAAACGGCCAAGATTTGATTTCTCAATCGAACGTGAACAGTTATAGGTCCACCTGCCGGACAATGCAGGTTTTCTCTGAGTGCTCCTAGCTGTTTCCTCCCACATTAAGACCCTCTGCATGCTTCCATCCGGGTTAACAAGAGTGATTGATATAAGTTAGAAAACTTGTTCCTTTATTGCTGTAAAATAAATAAAGTTTATATTTCATTCAATAAAAAATGTTCACTTTGAAAAAAAATAACTCTACAAGTGAAATCTGTTTGTAGACTTGTTCTACCTGTACTAACGAAGTTTCTCACCTGTTTCAGTACTTGCATTCCCTAATGATGCTCCAGCAACAGAGCCAAAACTCTAGTCAGAACAAACAGAACGATCGGCTATCACATGTAGAGATGGCACTCGAAGGTCTCCGTAATGTCATCAAAAATAATCCAGGTATGTTATGATCTAGTCATAATGTGATCGACTTCACAGGTAATCATAATCTTGCTGTATAAACAATTATAGGTATGTCATCGTCAAGCATCATCCAGTCTTGTCAAAAAACGAATCTATGTTTGTCGCCATCTAGTTTTGTCATAAAATATATAGACAAGTCACCATCTAGTTTTGTCATAAAAATCGATCTTGAAAAGTCATCATCTGTGTATGTCATTAAATAATCTGTATATGTTATTATCTGCACATTTCATCGTAATTATATGACAAAATATTTCCATCACAAGTACTGGTGAAGTCATCTTCATATATTCATTTTTGTGGTAAAATAAATACTGAAATTTGTTTCTTTGAGACTGGTTTGTTTAGTTTTGTTAGCGTTTTTTATAAATGATTAACTTTAGGTTCAAGGTCGTAGTCCATTTCCCATTAATAATAAATTATAAATTAATAACCAATAATAAATTGATGATGTCATTAGGTTTTTGCTGTATGCATGTTTTTGATTGAGGTGAGAGTGTTATGTATCAAAATGTAGATACTAACTGGAGGAAGTTTTTGTCTTTCAGGTGTAGAAATCCAGTGTATAGGGCACTTTAAACTCCTTTTCTGTCTCCTAAGACTGGACGATTGTGCCAAACTGCAGCAGTTCGCTCTCGAGGTAGGTAACAATTATTAACAGGGCCAATGACGGCAACACAGGATATAGTTTGTATTTGTAATTTATCTAAACATATTTTTTTGTCATAATAAGTTTGGCAGACTGCATTATATTGGAAACCGGCATAAACCCAATCCTGATTTCAGAAGGGGAAATCTGAAATTTATATTATTCTACGAAATGTTGATAAATTATTGAATTCTTTCCCCCGTCCATTCCTTCACAAAATCCACTTTGAGACGACGCCTTCCCTGACAGACTTTTTGGAATATTCTTATTTATAGAATGCAGAACTATTGTTATTTTAATATTTTATGCAGATCATCAGTTATACAAACTTATTTCAGTGTAGAAATTGTGAAGATATTGTATGTAACTGGGGTTTATTTATAATAAGAATTCAAACCCCCAAACCCCTTTATACAGGGTCTCATTGTCAGGGGGTTCAAAGGTAAAATGGTTAAACAGGAAATAATCCATACATTTAACTATGTCACTCAACTAAGTACTACCCACAGTATCTTTAGGCAACCTCCTGGTTGCCTTCTTCAGTCCTTACTGAGATCAGTAGGGGGCTTCAGACTAATCTGGTGTATCAGTAATGAGACCCAGGGATTATCCCCAAGTCATGTGACTGAATCAGGCTGGCATAGGCTGGCAGTAGGTGGTAGTGCCCTCAGTCTTGGTTCAAGTCTGGACCGGTGGCCGCGACATAATTTCTTCAATGTATCTCGATTTACAATTTCCGTTTAAAAATCGGGATAATTAATTAGAGTACAAACATAACTTTGAGCAAAAACTGCTGTTTCGAAATTCCAAGGTACATGTATAATACTCAACGATTTAACATGACTTTGCAGGTGGTTAGCTGCGTGACAACCAACCAGGAATGTGTCAACGATATCGCAGCATCTGAAGTACTGTCCTACCTTCTGCTCGCTATCCAGAGTCTTCCCACATGTAAGTGTATCTGTTTGTTTGTTTGGGAGAAGTTTGGTATAGAGATATGTTGTATCAATTTTGTCATAAAAACATATCACAGCATATAGGAAGGGGAGCCAGTCAAAGTCTGCAGCCAGCGTATGGTTTTGTTCATCATTATATTATGCTATCTTTTTGCTAAAATTCCCCCGAATGTGTGGTAATAGAATAGGTGAACTTTTGCGTGAGGTCATTTGGACTAACTAATAATAGCTAATCTTGGCTTGAAGTATATTGAGCTAAACATGTAATTGTCTGTCATCTGTCAAGCTGCTTTGACCTGTTCTCAAGAACCACCAGTTATATAATGTCATGATATTAGATATGTAGCTTTCTATTAATGGGGCCACAGTGGCCGAGTGGTCAAGGCGAGTGACCATCTACACTCTCTAGTCCTCCACCACTGGGTTACTACGGGTTCAAGGCTTATATGACCGGTACTGGCTGCAGGTTGATGTTTTTTTCTCCAGGGAATCTGGTTTTTCTCCCTCCACCTCCAAAATCTGGCTTATCCTGAAATGACCATAGCTGGTAATAGGACGTAAATCATAAACAAACCAAAAATCTAGAAGGAAGGGCTATCAAGGTGTTAAAACAAATGAACTAGACCTCAAGGTCAGAAGGTTCAAATGTGTTAAAATTTCATTATTTTTACTTCTTCAAAACTAACTACAATGTCTATAGTCATGATCTGTTATCTGTAGCTTGCTAGATTACAAAGTTACCAAGTTAATGAAAAGAGTGGCATTGACCCACTTTGAATTTCACAGGGGTCAAAATTGTTAAAATTTCAATTGATTTCTAAATACATAACCAGAAAATTCAGTCATGATATATGACTTATAAGTTGCTGGGATAGAGGGCTATGAAATAAATTTCAACGATTTACCTTGACCCACTCTCAAGGTTACAAGGGTCAAACTTGTCAGGAAGAAAAATAAATAAGGTTAGGCAGTTAAGGCCTGTGGGCCTCTTGTGATGGAAAACTAGGGAGTACATATGTCTTGTTCATTGTGGGTGTAATACATTTTCTGTTCCTTTTAGGTCGACTGCTGACCCTGGAAAGCCTGTTTGCTCTTATGTCCAGTACAAAGATTGTGAAAGAGGCTCTAAGCAAGGGTAGGTACTCCAAATACCTAGTTCTCTAAAAACTGCATTGCCGCTTTAAACAGCATAAATGTCTCTAATGAGGCTAAATATATCAGGAATGCAAATATTAATACAAGGCATGCTATGCATAAGGATTCCAATTTGAAGGGCAAAACTAACACTGACTTGATATAGATCTTATTTTATCCTAGTATGCAGTACATATACCTTCTTCTTTTTACATCAAATAACTGAATTGCAAGGGTTTTGAAGACTGAAATTTGTTAACCTAAGTTATGTATTCATGTTTGGGTATTTTTTAGATGTGTTACCAAATAGATAGCATAGCCTAATTACCTATTGTAAAGGATGTCTTACAATTTTCATAGCATGGAGTTCTTTTTGAAAGGAGATGCAAAAGTCACCTTAGGTAACATATATCCTTAAATCAGTAACTGAACTCGTTGTCCTGACTGTGTTTTGCAGGTGTGCCCGTGTACCTGTTAGACCTGTTCTGTAACTCTACCAACGCAGCGGTGCGAGAGAAAACTGCCGAGCTAATCGCTAAGATGTTGTCAGACAAATTAGTAGGACCAAAACTTAGGATAACCCTTGCCAAATTCCTTCCTCCGATATTCATGGATGCCATGCGGGACTCACCGGAGGCCAGTGTACATATGTTTGAAGGTGAGATTAGGAGATGCCTGTATATGTATACCCATTGTTTTACATGCTGGTGGTTGGAATCAGAAAAGTTCCTTGGATCACACTCCCAAGGTTTAGGTCCTGTGTTTCAATAAGCATATATAGTAATGAATATGTAGAGTTTTAATTAGGGATAGGTTATGGCCACTATAGAAAAAGCTTAATTCAGGACAGAATGAAACAGGTTGACCAAGGGATCATGTAAAGATTGAACTAGTGACCTTGACTCTAAAAGGTTGATCAGTGGACCATGGCATAAAATGGTTGATCAAATGACCCCAACCTAAAAAAAAATGATCAGGAGACCATGCCTTAAAATGATTGATTAAGACACCATTGCTTATACAGTTGACCTGGGAACCATTGAAAAACATTATGATAAGGACTGTTCCAGAACTAATCACAGGGGATCCCGAAGGGATGGGAGGCTTTTTTTGGAGAGAACTCAACAATAAAATCTTTAAAGTGATTTAATAAGGAGAGGCAGGCAGATCTGGTTTTAACCGCATCACTCGTAATATATTAAAACAGGACCTTCCACCTCCCTCATACAATACATTTTGAATAGCCCTAATCAAAGCTGTCACATTGTGTCAGTTTATTGATTCTTTTATATGTAAATAGTGGTCGTTTTAGACAGGTGTCATTGTGTAGTTAATTTTACTTTCTTTACCCAGGCACACATGAAAATCCAGAGTTAATATGGAACGACGATTCCAGAGAGAAGGTGTCGGACGTGGTCAGGAAACTCAAGGACAGGTAGATTGACTGTAATAGAAGTCTTCATGCCAAGCCTGTACTATATTAGTTTATATTTACACCATAGTGTGGTAATATAAAGTTCTACACTTTATGAGATTTAAGTGCTCATCGGTCAAGGTTAAATGGTCAAAGGTCACACTTGACTACTTAGTTGGGGTGGAGTTATGTCTATATGAACCTCTGCTTATTTTGTCCTTATTTACTTGCCAGCCACTACAAGGCACAGCGAGACAATCCTGACACCAGGTGGAGCTTGAGTGAGGACTTCGCTGTAGTATACACTGACGTGGAAGGGGAGCTTACTGTTGGGGGTGTGTTCCTTCGGATATTCATTTCCAATCCTGGCTGGGTGCTCCGTAAGCCAAAAGAGTTTCTCACTGAACTCATGGAGAAATGGACACAACTTATCAGCATGCAAGCTCCGGACGTAAGGCGTTCTTTCATCTTCATATTTGTTTTGCCTGCTGCATATGTCACAACACAAGGCAATGTTCCAGTTGTGCAAACTTGGAACAGGCCTGTTAATCTTCACCCCCGAAGACATATTTGAACTCTTCAAACTCAAAGGTTGGAATAGTTCATTATGAAATTTCAGGGTGAATGAGTTAAAGGAACAGCACATTCCATATTACATTCCCACATGTGCAAAATATATTAATGTAATAGAAAAACTTTTTCAGAATAAACCTTAACAGCTTATTCGCAAAAATCTGTGATACATAGCAGTTTATCGCTTTTAAATGCTACAACATTCCTTAAGATGGTAATATTTTGAAAATATTAGGTTGATTAAATACAGTTAACTTGTTACACATAGATGAATATACAATTTTGTGATCATGTAAAATGAAAGTATTTAACCAGCCATAATATAGGATCCAACTTGGTACCCAATAACTAGGCATTCCTGAAAACCAATTCATTTCAGAAGAACATCACATTCCGTTTAGCAGATCATCTGGTTTATAAAAGCACAACTGGAACCTTCCGCTAAATGGAACACACAATAAAAGTTGTTATTCTGGTATCGGAGACATCAGTTTTAATTGTACAGCTGCAAAGATCTAAAAGGATTTTCCGGAAGATATTCTAGATGCTTACGCAATAAAACATACTGTAGAGTCCAAATCTGTAAAGGACATCAAATTCTAATGTCCATATTTGACATCCTACCTGCTTGGTCAAGCAGTACATTTAAGCATTTAGCTTGATTAATTTCTATAACTATTAGTAGATTTGCTGATGAACTGTGTTTTGCATGTGAGATTTTAAGAAATAAAAGTTTCTAAAAATTTAAGTGAAAGTTGCTTGTAACTTTTTGGAATCTTTTAGCGATATCGCTGTCTGTGTACAATGTGACTTTGGATATCCACAGGGCGAGGTGCTAGAGACTGTGACGACAGGCGTGGTATGTCTGTTCTCCTCACAGTCATCATTACTGGACCAGGTACCACAGTTAGGCTATATCCCTAAAGTGTTCCAGGCCATGTCCAACCGAAACGACGCCATCCCCAAGTCCGCCATTCAGGTGGCGCACCAACTCGCCAACAACGAGGTCAGTTTATCACACTTTCATACACAGTGATTTTAGAATTACGATTATGTCATTTGAAAAATGTTTATGATACCCTCTTGGGAAATTTCAACAAAGAGACATCACTTTCTCCCACCCTTCACAGGTGTGTCTCCCTTTTAAGCCGTAAAAGATCGGCTTGTAACCCCCTAGGGGGAGATAGCCTCATGCAGAATGGTGTAATCTAAGTCATAACATTAGTATGACGTCACGTCATCAATGCATTATAACGTCACATCAACAGTAGCAGACCATGGAAGACAACTCTGGATTTGCTGGGAAAACCTGCAATCAACGCTTATATTTCATGCAATCACTGCTTGTTGGCGGATTTGTGAGTGAAACAGGATGGGAGACAAACAATCATCCCCAACCTTGAGGGTGTTACAGAGAAATCTCCAACCCTTGGGATGATATACTTGAATGTCTTACCCTTGGCAAAGCCTCGGGTAAGACAATGAAGAGTATCATCCCTCAAGTTGAAGATTTCCCCGTCACACCCTCAAGGTATGGGCAGATTGTATTAGTCACAGTGTTTGAATACATATACATTTTTCTTGTATTGTAGATATGTATACGCAGCATGGCTCAGACAGAGTGTATCGGCCCCATTAAGGTAGCGATGAGGGCGCGTCGTGATCAGATCGCGTTGGCTGCAGAAACACTCGCTAAGTTGTTTGATAAGGGAGAGGAGGAACTTGTCTCACAGGTAAAAATGAACAAATAGTGGTTTCCTGCCACATTAAGACCCCCAGCACTCTACCATCCAGGCCAAAGATACATAATAAGTATCTTTACAGTTTGAAATGATAACTTTATGTGAAGAATTTTTTTTTTTATTTTTTTTTTTAAATTTAAAGCTTTTGTCAAACATTTTGAATTTTCTTGTATCAAGCGCATCAAAAATTGTTTAGGAAAAGAAATAAAAAAATAATGCATTCTTAACTATGGTGGAGTTTTTGTGTTGACATGTGTGTTCAATACAATTATCACAAGCACGAGAAATTAGTGCCACATCAAACCCACTGCATAAGGTACTGTTAAATTGCTTCAGTGGTTCTTTGAAGGAGTTATGATCCAGAGAATATCCAGGCCTGCTTCTATAGCTCACCATTTTCTATCAAAACCTGTGTTAATCTTCTTTTGGAAAATATGAATTTTGAATTATTGTTGTTACATCAAAAGGCAGTAAAATCATAAATATTAATTGAAATGTGGTAAAAAAAATCAGCTGTATTGATTGATATGCGATAAAGACATAAAGGTTTTTTCTTTGCTGTTACGACTCGTTTGTATTAAATTACAGGCAGTAAAGGCCGATATTGTTCCGTTCCTCCTGAAGTTACTGGACGCTGGTCTGGAGCTGCTGGACAATCCATCATCAACCAAAGCTCAAATTGTCAAGGCACTCAAGGCAATGCAGCGCAGTCTTATATACGGAGAACAGGTAAGGTCACTGAGAGGTCAAGGTCATGTCAAATATGTCATGGTTACATTTTTTTTTTTTAAATAATTGCTTAAGACAAACTGGTACTAAGTCCCAAACTGGTATTACTAGAAATGACAAAGTTTGCATGTGATCAGCCATTTACAGTCAAACATTTCATGATTGAATGTGCTGATTTCAAGCAAATGCATGACAGATTCCATAATGTCTATTAAAAAGTTTATTTGATTCAGATTCTGTGCATTCAATATATGATTATTTGCACTCAATATTGATCTTTATCATAAGTTTTATTATTGAATCCTTATTTAAGTTTTAGGTTTCAATGAGCCGTAAAACAATACAAAAAATACTCTCTGTCAATAATTAGTCAGCTGGTTGATCTGTTCATGTTTTACTTTATCCTAGGAATATATCATATACTCTTTCAAATTTATTTGCAAGTACCTCATTAGATGTTGTTACATAGAGAAGCTGGGTCTTGTGCCAGACAGTATAAAGACTTACTGTCCTTTGTCCTCTAGTCATCAATTTGTCTGTGGCATATATAGCATTTACTCTGTTACTTAGAATTGACAAAGTCTTGTATACAAGTATCCCTTGGGATAGGAGATTGTCACATACTGAAATTGTTGGTTTTTAATGCACTGTTACTAAAAAGTATATACAGAGTTATTGCCCTTTGGTACTTTTCATACTGAAGTTTGTTTTGATATTGGGTGACCTGATACTTGCAGCTGAGCTATCAATTTTTCATACGGTTCCTTTCTTATATATTCATTATGACCTAATGAAATAGATTAGGGGAGACAAATTAATTGAATTGCTACCTCCAGAACATGGTGTGATATTAAACAATGTAATTGTTTATTGTAGATTACGGGGATTTTGGACAAGTCGCCCATCTGGAAAGAATATCGGGACCAGAAACATGATCTCTTTATATCAGACACACCCATCGCCGGCTACCTAACAGGTGAGTTGTTGTTTATATCTAGACAGGTGTAGAAAACAATGCCCAACCCAACGGCCAGGTAATGTGGACACTGAAGTAGGAAAAGATCAGTTCTGTAGTACACAAAATAATTCTACATCAACAACTTACTAAGATGGGTAATATTCACCTCATAAATAGCTAAAAAAATAATCATCAAGCAGTCCAACTCCCAAAATTGTAGAACCTTTTTAAAATGTCTTCATTTTCCAAAAGAATTTTGATGTTATAAAAGGATATGGCAGTATGTTAAGGGAACATTATTAAAAAAAATGGGAAAAGGGATATTGACTGGAAAAAGACACTCTGCAAGGTGTCAGTTGAAGTGAGTAGCATCACGGCTGTGGTCTTACTTAACATCTCCAATTTGTTAAATGTGTTCAGTTGTTGTCATATCAAGTACAGATGGACAGGAGAAGGGTTATTATCAAGGAATCAATTCCCTCTTTTCGTATTGCAGAGTTATCTGCTCTTGTGAGCAAGTATTGATTCAGATTGTTATGGCATTAGTTTGTGTGAGAAAATTATGTCGTTTTCTCAAAATTTAATGACGTTACTCTCACAAACAAATGACGTAACAATCAATACCTGCTCACAAGAGCAGATAACTCTGCAATACGAAAAGAAGGAATACAGTGAAACTGGATTTTAACAGCACCTGACTGTAAGGACAATCTTCAATATGCATTACAACCTGACTTAACTGACACCTGACTTAAACAATATTCCTGTTAATATACAGTAAAAACCTGACTGAACTGACACATGGCAGAAAAGGCATCCCTGAAATATATAGTGAAACCTGACTGAACTGACACCTGACTTGAAAGACAATGTTCAATATACAGTGAAATTAATATAAAAACTGATTTCACTATAGCAAATTTAAGGAAATATGATACATGTGCGAATTATCTCCCTTGCATGCTTTTATTTTGATTATGTAAGAGTTATTTCCCTTACACATTTTTTGTGTTATTTTGGTAAGAAATATCTCTCATACACACTTTCAGTTAGCGTTATGTAATAATTCACAGAATTATTTGTCTGTTGGCAATTTGTTTTTCTTGTCTTGATAAGCTTTCAAATCTGTCTTCAATGACATAAACAGGTCAAAAGAAAGATGTTTGTCACCTTGTAAAGTAGCGTACCACGTTAAGATTATAACTTTTCTTACCAAGTCTCAATAAATTCGCAAGAAAAGATGTATTTATTTTAAGCAACAGGATAAATACCCAACACTAAAAAAACAATACAGAACACACACATTACAGATGTACAAAAGTATTCAACATAGCATACTTAACATTGTGTAATAGAAGTACTCAGCATGGCACACAACAAATTTATATATAATAGGACCACAGCAAAGACAACTTTGTGTAATTTGTGTTCTCAGCATGGCATATTTCAGCATCCTGTGTAACTAGAAATCTACTCATACTCAGCATTATGTGTAACTAGAAATCTACTCATACTCAGCATTATGAATATGTAATACAAGGAATCAGCATGGCCTATTTCAGGATCATGTGTAATTAGAAATCTACTCATACTCAGCATTATGAATATGTAATACATGTAATCAGCATGGCATATTTCAGCATTCTGTGTAACTAGAAATCTACTCATACTCAGCATTCTGTGTAACTAGAAATCTACTCATACTCAGCATTATGAATATGTAATACAAGGAATCGGCATGGCATATTTCAGGATCATGTGTAACTAGAAATCTACTCATACTCAGCATTATGAATTTGTAATACAAGTAATCACCATGGCATATTTCAACAGCATTATGTAATATTAGTACCCATAGGAACCTATAAAGGGGCTGCGATGGCCAAGTAGTTAAGGCGTCTGACATTCTGCTACCACTAGCCCTCCACCATTTGGTCACAGGTTCGAGACCTATGTGGAGCAGTCGCCAGCTACTGGCTGTAGGTCAGTGGTTTTTCTACGGGAACTCCGGCTTTCCACCACAATCAAAACCTGGCACGTCCTTAAATGACCAGAGCTGTTAATAGGACGCAAAACACAAACAAACCAAACCAAATGGAACCCATTTAAAGTTTGTGTAACACAAGAACTCGACAAAATATTGCCATACAAGTTCTCAATATACTTTACTTCAATATTATGTAAAACAACATACTATACTTAACAGATTTTATTACAAGTACTCAACATGGCATACTCCAACACGATCTAACAATACTCAATGTTATGTATTTACCCACTCTAAACATATTTCCAGTTAATTAAAATGCATGATCACCAAACTTTGCTTGCGGGGAAAAAAAATTGTGCCTTTAAAAAGTCTGTCTTTTCTTTCACCTTTGTGTCTTAAATACATATACTAACTCAAAAATGTTAAATATAGATTATAAGATAATATTTTATTTTAGAATAAGGTAATATATAACAAATTGTATCTAGTAATTTTACTTTGTACTTATTGATTTTTTCTATGATTTTATTATTCCTCGTAGACAAAGCCTCAGGTAATGTCGCTATATTGCCTGCCTTATTTGGGCATAGTGTCTTGTCTTCTGCATGTGAATGACTTTATATATAATACATTAATCAGAGTCTGAAACCTGTCTTTCCTCATATTACACTAACATTTGAGATGTCTTGTCCAATAATATATCTAACAATGCCGTATGATGTTGAGTGCTTTTTTACATTTAATACATGATGTTTTGTAAAATAGAAATATTACCGTAATCATATACTTTTGGACCAGAATTTGTGCAATTTTTCGACAAACTAGTTGAGTCTTTAACTCATTCACCCCTGAAGACACAGTTGAACTCTTCCAAATCAAAAGGTTGGAATAGTCCATTATGAAATTTCAGTGGTGATTGGGTAACTGACACATTTTCCATGTGAGGACCAAAGAACGCTGTGTGTTCTGGGCTTTAAAAGGTCATAAGTTCAAGGTCACTGTGACATTAAATTTTCAAAGACACATTAGCGTACAAAGATCAAGAATTTCTTACAAGTGTCAAGGACATCGTTACTTACATTTCAAACTTCATTCCACCTTTTCATTGAAGTTTACAGGCAAACCCAGACAAGGATTACAATTTGAAAAAAATGGTGGGCTGGGGGTATTTGTCAAGATGATGCCCTGCTTTAAAAGATAAATGCTACCAGACTGATATGTATCTTCTTTAATTGATGACACAATTGAAGAGTAAACATAAATGTGCCAATTTGTAATTCTCTGGCCATTCTAATTGGAATGGAGATAACTCTTAAACAAATAGAAAGTATAATGTATCTGGGGCACTGTAAGGTAACTTATGAATCGAGTCTGTCATAGTTGATTTCTCTAACATGACAACCATTGGTAAGAGCAGACAGTGGAAGTACATGGTTAGTATTTTGAAGGACCAAAAATTGATTAAGCAGGTTACAGTATTAAAAATTAGAAAATCACTGTTTGTTGTGTAAATTGATGTCTCGACAATGCACCATAATTAGCTTTCTTGATTTTTTTTTTTTTTTTTTAATGAAAATTTCTTTTCATTGATTTTCAAAAATTCACAAGCAGTTTCATATATATATTAAAATTGTCATCTTAATGTAATTTCAACTCTTCAGTTTCAATCTTATTCAATTAATTTCTAGCTTTTCCTGTTTTTAAGCACTTTAGATATCGAAATAAACTTGTAGTGCTTTGCTGTTTATGTCATTTACTTATCCTTAAAGTCTTCTTCTCTTAACTTTGAAATGAAGAGCATCAAGTATAACACTATTAAAACATGGCTGTTTTGTTAAATTAATTATTTCTGACTTGTTTAATTTCAAATGCTAATAGATCATATTTTCCTGCTTTCAAGGTCAAAAGTTAAAATTGAAATTATTGATTTGAATTCATATAATATCATATTCCAACTACAGTATATACCGGTAGCCACATTATTGATTGTGGAACTCACAGATAACTATATCATCTTGCTATTTATAATTTAACATGCGATCACATGAAATTTTGATAATCCAGATTATTGATTACACTGTTATTTGAAATAAAATAAATTGGTTGTTTGGCTAATCTTGACCAACCAAGAAAAAAAACCTTTTAATCAAAATATTTCATTGAAAATGTAGATTTTATTTTATCCTTTTCAAATTCTGATCCATAATTGTGTTAAGTATCTATGTTTTACCAAAATGTTGGAAACATGTACATCAGACAGTGTAACAATAACACAAGGTTTTAAAAGGATTACCCTGTAATTAAAACAGTAAAAAAATGACAGTTGTGAAGTAGAATCAAACTTTTGATTTGAATACATTGATCATTAATCTGAACACTAAAACTGAAAATGGAGATTTTGAAGAGCAGTCTACTAGCAGGTTTCATAACTTTGTTTCTGTTCCATTCTTCCACCGATTTAGTTCCTGTTTAATCCTGGTTTCTCTGTCCAACCGTTTGTGTGTATGATGCTATGTACACTTGTGATGTCACAATGTCATATGACTTATTTCAAAAAAAAAAATATACCCTCAAAATATCCCTACTGTCTCTATTTGAATAAACCTTATATCTTTAGCACTGAAAGTAGCTTAAGAATATTATATAAAAAAGACATTTATTTTGTCAATCAACTTAGCTCATACCGAACAACTACTGTAGACTCAACCATTGGGTTTGCTGTTATTCATTGAAGTTCATACTTAGGTTGACAGTCCAGCATAGGACGACTGATATTCTCAGTGCGTAAAAGTTAAACTGATGCACAAACTTTATCACTATTAAATGATTGCAGGTTTACTTTTATGTTAAAAACATGAAGGAAGATTTTCTTGAAAAAGAACCGGTGTACATATATTGCAAGGTTTCATGCCATGTATGTTACCAATGATGCATTGGTATTGCATTATTGTTTTAATCAAAAATATAATTGCACAAGTCTATGTTATCACACTTAGCTGTCGGTGATGTGCATGGTAAATATTAAGTTATTGATAATGTTCAGCATATACAATGGTGACGGCTGCATTCAATTTGGTGTTTTTGTTTATTTTATTACAATAACTTGACATCATTTTGTGGATCATATCATTGCGTAAAAAGTAAAACTGATGTGCAAACTTTATCAATCTTCAATGTAAAACTTCAAGCAGTATTTTCGAAAGAACCATAAGGTATAGAGCAATGATATTTTGATATGTTAATAAGACCAGCCATTTGAATCACTTTCTTCCATACTGTATTAAGGTCAAAGGTCAACTCTGTCTGCTAGCCAGGGTCAAATGTTAACATAGGCTATAATGGGTTAAAAGCTTTAAGAATTTTCTCCTTTAGTACCATAAGTCCCACGGTCATCATTAGTAGACCAGTAGTGTGAAGATTATCTTTAGTCCTTGGGTCATAGCCATGAAATGGCATTTGTTTGCTATTTCTACGAAAACTTTGATAGATTAGGATGGGTTTAATACCAGGTATGAGCTTGCTTATTGACTGATACATATGTGTTTCATGTTTTTTTAGGTCAGTATTTGATATTAAAATGTACTTGAAAAAGTTAATTTATCATTGTAATCAGTGATTAATTTAAAAAATAAATATTCCTGTGAAATATGAGTAAATTAGTTTACACAATTGTACAATTATTTGGAATTAAAAATTAATGTATTCATATCTTTCCTTACAGGTCCGACTGGCCCAAGCGTTGCTGGATATCTCACAGCAGGAACGAGAACCACCATGCCCGATGCTCCACCCCCTCTAGAAGCACCAGAGGATCACTGATTCATCCCTATGTAACAGACATTTCCATTGGCCGCTCTAGATCATGTGATAATTTTCATTGCAATCCATACCTTCAAGTTTCTGCAATATTTTGTGATAAGACAGTGAATAGAATGGATTATATATTTCATGGACTATAAAAATCATTGTATATGTGTGATGAATATTCATTAGTTAACTTACTTTACATATAATGAATATTCATAACTGTAATTTCATCATCACAATGTGTTATGTATTCATTTTGTTTATTATATATATAACGAATATTCACTACTTTGTTGACTTAATGTGTAAAGAATATTCATTAATAGTAATTACATAAATTGATATGTAAAAAATGAATATTCATTAATTTGTTCATTTTATATTATTTGATTATTCATTACCAGGTGTTCAAATTTTACTCATTCAAAGGAAGTTTTAAAATAACTGAAGTAAAGAGTGTACTCGACACTGGCAATATCTTACAAAACAAGAGATTTTCATGTAATGGAAAATTTTGTCTTGTTTATTAGATGGTTCCATATTTCTGAATCACCTGTCTATTTATAAACCTATGATTTAATATACAGGGCATTCCACTTTATAGCACTTGTCATTTGTCAGAGAGAGAAAAAACATGATATTAACCAAATAGTGACATTAAGAGATGTGACATTAAGTGAAATGTATTGTAATTAAAATATGTGTATTTTATATGATGTGATATTTAAAAACCAAAACACAAAAGACTTGAATTCAGAGGTTTTGTTATTGAAAATGTATTAAGATATGGTATCTAAATACTTTGTTGGATTCATAGTACATAAATATATTGAACTCACAAATATGAACTTCATTTGCAATATTGGAATTGCAAATTTGACCAAAGTTGAAGTTTGGATGATGTGACAATGTGTTAGCTCTTGGTGTAATGGTTACTCACCGTTCCAAATGTTAAATGTTATGGATGCAAATTCAGGTAAGTGTGACTTTAACCGTTTCACCACTGTAAACCATAATGGACTCATCCAGATAAATGTATGGTAGAGTCTACTAAAGTTACCTAGGGGTGAAAGGGTTAATTCATTGAAATATTTTACACAATATTTCAAATTTTCAGCTTTTGTGTTTCTTTTATTTAAAATGTCTGCATATGAGCGATTTTCTGTTTCATCTTTATATGTAAGGGTTACCGAAATCTCACCTGTTTGACCTAGAATATAATTATCAAGAGTATTTGGTATTTGTACAATAATTTCTGTTTGGAGTTTTGCACGGAGGATCAGTTGGGTTATCAGCATTATTTTTCTGTTCACCATTTATTGTCAATTTTGTATTTCAAGTTATAGTTAAATTGTATTCAATGGACAAATAATCAAATACTCAACCGTTTCTGAACAAGCCTCTGTTAATGTGTAGTATTCACTCTGCAATATATTTATGGTAACCATCATTATATTGTTTGTGGTTTGTTCTGTTAATTTATCTATCAATCAGACATCTACTTTTTCAGTTTCTTTTCTCTTTTTTTTTTTTTATCTTTGTCGTTTTAATTGACAATAATATGCTCTGAAATAACCAAAAATAATTTACTGATAAAATCTTTTACACTTCCTTTGCGGCTTATTATTATATCTTTTTAAACAGGAATAGGGGGCATTTAAAGGTGTCAGGAATAATTCAATGATTAAACGTAAGAATTGGGTTTTTTTCAAGTCCGTTTGTTGGTTTGTTTTCAAAATAATGAAAATGTGTGAGGAAAGTTCTATTGCAATACAGTGTACTTGTCTTAAGTATTTATGTTCATTTCTCTTGTTTAATATATATGAGTGGAGTTCAAAGTTCATTGTACTGTTTTGTTATATGTGAGGGAAGTTCAAAGTTCATTTTTATAGTTCTGGTGTATGTGAGGGAAGTTTAAAACTAATTTTACAATTTTGATAAATGAGAGGGAAGTTCAGAGTTTGTTATACATATCTGGTATGTGTAGCGGAACTGAACTGGGTTGATCATGGGCAACCAGGTGGTTCATTTGGTAGAGCGTTTGTCTATAGATTGGAGGGTCCTGGGTTCAAACCCCAGTCTGGCCATTGTATCTCTCTCTCTCCTGTATGCGAGGGAATTTCTTGGCCCCTATAATGCACTAGTGGGGAATACCTGGTACTTTATTTAAATTTCTTATCTTCATGTTTGTGTCAGGGTTTTAAGGGACAGGAATAACAAAATACAGAAACAAGTATTGCTCATCAAACAAACAATCATCTACTGCTCATTATGTCGTAAAAGTCCCGATTTGTAATTATAATGGTATATCTCCACTGTGCTTAAAATTCGCTTGTTAAGTCTCGCTTTCTATAGAAATATAGTATATAAATGAATCTTTGTATATAGGGTGTTATTTTGGAGGTAGCATCCTTAATCAATTTTATAATTTATTTAGGTTAGAGTCGGTTTGAATTGCATTTGATGTGATATGGAAGTTATCAGAAATTCTATTCCACTAATTCACTAATTAAGGAGAAAACCATCTTAATTAAGAACAAGAAATACTAAAGTATTGCAATACACTGTCTAGATGTTGGAAACTGAATGGTATGCCATAAGTATTACAAATTGAACAGTGTGTGGTAATTCGTCATTTGTTCTTAACTAATGGGCAGCTGTTTCACAAAGTGCAGGAAAAGAATAGTATTCAGGACTTTAAATTTCCAGCTTGTACTGAACTGGGTCTGGTTGTTATCTAGAACTGAACACACGTTATCCCACGGAACAGCTGACAATGTCCAACATGATTCCCTACACAAATTTCAAAAGATTAACTCATGCTACCATATACAATTTGGTTTATTTTTTTATAAAAAAGTCATTTTCAGTTAGTGAGAATTATCATGTGATGGAACATTTTAAGGATCCATGTACTGCCGCAAAAAAATAAAACTATGCATTCAAAACCTTTTTTCTCAGCATGACTATAGCTTTGATAAATCCTTTCTGAAAAAGAAAACACCAATGTTGCTTTCACCGACTAAAATACCTGTCCAACGGAAGTGATCTTGACCAACTGTGCTACAGTTATATTCTTAAGGAAATTAAGGGGAGGTTACTGTATATATCAAAAACCAGTATAGTGGGCCAAGGATCCTTAAACACTGTTTATTTATTTGTTTATGTTTTGCAAGTTGGGATATATCAATACATCTGGCAAAGAGCAACTTCAGTCATGTTAAAGGATGCTTTTCTTCATAATAAATTACATGTTATAAAGTAGGGCATTGTCACATGGAATATGTTAATATAACAAAATGGAGATTGTCAAACAGTTGTTTAGAATGTAATGTCATGAACAAGCTGTTGTCTGTCTGGCTAAGGCCGTACTCAGGGGGCAGGTTTACAAAAAACAACTTGCTTGTTTTTGACTCCTTTGGTTAATCTTGTTGAATAATTTGTCAATTTGGAAAAAAAAATCTTTTTCAAATTTAAAGTAATTAAAAATTACAAAGTTACATATCAAAATGTGATGGAACACCACAGTTACTGTTATCATATAAATTTAATTATTCAATACATTAAATATTTATGACCCATCTATTATAGATAAATTTTGATTTTGGTTCATTGGATCAGGTGATGTAAATTTTGTTTGAATTTATTCTGGTATCACTCATCATCATATTTGTACAATTTACTGCAAGTTCTTAAAGTAGACCTCGTTTTAATACTTAATTTGTTCCACTATCTATAAAAACAACTGGTTTAAATATTGCTACATGTAAACAAATTAACTGCATCCTTAGTGCTATTGGTATTTGATTTTCCATTGGGGATGTTGGAAGTGAGCTCAGGAATTAGTTTTGGTTTAGATTTTTGAATAAACATGATGAGCTCAGGATCTATTTTTTTAACCAACATGATAACATCTGGAATAATTTATGAAACCATTTGAAAACCTTTAGTTGTTCTTCATGTCTGCTTCTTAGGCAGAAAACCACAAACAAAACTTATTTTTTAATGATAAGTTTATTAATGAAAACAACATATATCTCATATAAAATATCTTTAAGAACCCAAAATGATGCCAGAATTTCACCATTTAACTTGAAGAATAGTGAATGTGTTTAATTAAGTATTTGTTAGAGAGAATGTTGTATTACCTGTGTAATTTGTTTACATTATTGCTTGCTGCAATAGCTGTTGTTACTTGTGTTAAAGAGAAAATATTGTAAGTTATGTCCTTGTAATGGACACTGTGGAAGTGCTTTGTTTGCATGGCTCGTTATCTTGTTAAACAGCAAACAGTTGTTTTTTATATCTTAATTATATGTTATGATTAAGTGCTATTTTCATTTCAGGAGGATTCACTTTTCACTTTGACCTAAAATGCATCTCATGAACATATCAAACTTCCTATTAACAAAACTCAAAACTCATCTCATTAACATTTCACACATCTCATTAGTATAAAACATCTCATTAACATATCACACTTCTCATTAGCATAAAACACCTCATTAACATATCACACATCTCATTAGCATAAACTATCTCATTAACATAACATATCTCATTAACATATAAAACATCTCATTAATATACTGCATTCATTTGCAGCACAAATCTTTCATTAGCTTAAACAATATCATTACAATAACATTTGACAGGACAATTGGATTCCTGTTTGATGAGGAATATTATTTCTCAATTTTTAAATTAGCTTTGCTTTATAATAATGTATAATAAGGATAAATACTACCTTGCAGATATGTCTGTGGTTTGTGTTTAAGTTGTCTCCTTTTCAGAATTTTTGGTGTAAGAATTGAATACGCACTATTATGGAAATTAGATTCATATCCCAGAAAAAGTAGCCTATAAGGAAATCAAATATGAACTACATATATAAAATCGAAAAATTCCAAAGCTTACAAATATTTTCAAATTTCCTGTCTGACATTGATATTTTTTTAATGTGGAACAATTTTCTGTTTTCCTAAATTCAACTAATGTGTATGAAATTTTACCTTTATATATTATTAAGGAAATATGCTGATTTACACATTAAACCTGTGATTTCTACTAGAGTTTTATCAATACATGTACTCTTGTGTGTTTTACAAATATGACATCAATTCATCAGTTCAAATTACCCTCCATAGAGTTCAGGTTCTTAGTGGGGAACTCTTTTGTAAAAGGAGATTACTTTTATGCAAGGTAGCATATACCTTAGACCTAATTAAATTTATCACAACTATGCTGTAAATTTTCATTTGCAAAGTGGCATATTCCCCCAACCTAATTGAAATTACAGAACTTTCCTTTGTAAGGTAGCATATACCCTTAACCTAAGTTACTCGTCTCAACTAAGGTGAAAGTCATCTGCTAAGTTGCTTGTCTTCATTGTGATATGTTAACCAAGTAAATTATTATTAACCACTGTTTTATTTAAGTTGAAACAAGAATAGTTGTACCTGAACAGATAGCTATCATGTCTTCCTTTCATGTTTGTATCATTGCCCAAGTTATGTGTACAGACATAATTTTTTGAAAGTTATGTCAAAAATATTATTTTGGAAAAATGTCAGATGTTCAATTTAATTCTAATTTATCTTTGAGTTCTTCATTTCCTTTTAAGCTATTAAATTGTCAATTGTATTTATTATTATCGCATTAAACTCACTAATAACCCTTTGAAGTTTTAACTACAGTGTATTTATAGCTATAACAGGATAAATTGTAATTATCATTGCCTTAAACACATGAACTATCATTTAAGTTTTTATTCATTCTTTTTTTCTCCTCAAATTGTCGGAATGTATGATACAATATTTATATAGAAGTAGAAGGATTTTACTAAATGTAGGTATTGTTCTGAATAATTGTACAGTGAAACCTGCCTAATCTGTCCTCTGAGTATTCAGACTCCCTATCTATATAATGCTGCTTTCCCATTTCTAATGAAAACTTCCACCTACAATCTGTATTCTGACATTCTCTCTAATCTGACCATTACATTATGTCCAAAAGGGTGTCAGATTAGACAGGTTTCACTTCATTTAGTGTATATTTAAGGGAATTATTATAA